ATGGGCTAACAAAAATAAACTTAATTCTCAAGATATATTCTCTGAAAACAAGTTTTAATATCTTAAGCAATTTTGCTTCACAAGTGGATTTGTTTTAACAGTTTAAATATTTTTTACTAAAAAGCCGGCAGAAATACTTATTTATAAAATTGTGTTTTTGCAGTGTTTGAGATGTGTGTGAATGTATCAGTATATAAATGTTGCTTTTCCCAGTTTCCCACAGGCTGAATAATTATTCACTGTATAGTGATCGCTGCAGCCTATTAATTCTGATTTCTCTTCTTTCGCTTTTTTCCCCTCCACACCCCCTCTTTATCTCTTTCTCATTCTATTTAAATTTCTCTCTTTTACCCTCTCGTCCTCTCTCTCTCTCTCTCTCTATCTCTCTCTCCTCTGCCCCTGCAGAAGTCCTCTGATGCTGCTTTGCCCTCAGTATCATCCCCTTCTTCGCAAGCAGCTGAGAAAAGCAAACTGGAGGTACTGTAGCACTGTGCTTCTCTGTGCTGTGCTGTGCGGTTCACTGATCTTGGTGCTGTGCTGTGCATGTGCTGTGCATTCTCTAGGCTGCATCCCAATTTGCATACTTTCCATCCTAAATAGTATGCTAGTTTAGAATGATTCCATTTCAAATAATATTGTTAAAAATATGCCAAACATGTCCAAATGGCATACTATTGCTGCTACATTTCCAGCCATAAAAACTAAATGTGAAATAAAAAGAAATTTGTAAGACTTAATGCAATCAAAATTGGGGTTATGTGGCCTTTAGTCCCTGTTTAGCTACTGTTTAGCTATAATCAGAAAACAAATATTGAAATTGTACTTAAATCTATTAGCAATAAAAAAAAAAAGGTTAACCCCTTTAATATGCGCAATCAAGATGCAATTTTATGAGGTGGTAGTTTATCACAGTACTGTTGTACTGTCTTAATACATACACCAAATGCACTAACAAAGTAGTATGCAAATTGGGACAGACCTCTGTGTTTTGTTAATCAATCACTGAATCCATTTTCTATGATATAATGTGTTATGCAATCTCTGCACCGGCACAAATGTCCATGCATCTGAAGCTGGGTTCATGCTGGTTAGTGCTAGACAAGCGCATTTTAGCTGGTCAAGTTGGACAACTGGCATGTTTGGTCAAGTCTGGTGGGGGCAAACAACAACAACTATTATTATTATTAGTAGTAGTAGTATAAATTATATATAATTATTATATATAATTATATATTAAAATTATAATTATAATATATAAAATAAAGTCATATATACTTTTTTATTTTCTGCATAATCTATTTGTAAAATGAAGTGTGTAAAATGGATGTAATTGCACCAGTCAGAACTGTCTGACTATTGACAGTTTTGGCAACAGATTATTAAACCGCCTGTAAGAACGTTAATTTAAACCAAACAAAGGGCAAGGAGAGAGAACCTATAGAAGTCACACTGACGAGTTTACATTCATTGTTGAAAAGTGTTGTGGTTGTGTTTGAGTGTATGCGTGGAGTCTGTTGCCTCTGTGCTCTGCTGTGGAAAGGAATCGATAGCACAGCTCTGTCAGCATGCAGAGTGGAAATAGAATAATCAATGTTCCCATAAAGAGCTCCAAACGGCCAATCCACACCTGGGGTTATCCAGGCCTGTTCTCCATTTGTTCCGTCTGCTGGTAATCATAGTGCCAGTCAGACACCCCACAACCACTGCAGAAAACACACTCTGATCCCTCACTCCCACACCTGAACCGGCCTCTCGCTCAGCGTTTTTGCAGTAGCAATTGATTCGCGCTAAGAGAAAAGGAGAACTGATTGCTCGATATCAAGGCCAATCCTTTATGATGCATTTGTTTGGCTTTGCCATAGTGATGGGAGTTTTAAATGGTGCACTTTGTTAAAGGGCACCTATCATGCCCATTTATACAAGACGTAATATTGGTCTTTGGTGTCCCCAGAATGTGTTAGTGAAGTTTCAGCTCAAAATACCCCACACATCATTTAATATAACATCTGGAAAATGTCATTTTTGAGGCGTGTCTAAAAGAGAGCTGTTTTGGTTTGTATCACTTGAAATGCAAATGAGCTGCATATTCCTGTCCCGTCTCCAGAATAGGGCGTAGCATCAGGCCCGTAGCCAGCTATGAGGTCACCGAGGTCCGAACCTCGGTACATTTTTCATGTTCAAAAATTAAATTTGTTCTCTGAATGACTCATTTGCTGTTTAAAACTCATCATATAAATGCCTGCATGTATAATTAAGTTTAGACAGTTTGCAAGAATGTTTTTCGTCTGTCGTCCATGGTATGAAAATGATCGCTGCGAGACGCTGCCGGAGTGAACGTGTCTTGAGAGAGTCTTGAGTGAGGGCGCGGGTGCAGCTACATGTTGCCAAGTCCCTCTATTATAAGCGTTTTTGGACTTGTCTTTTCCACTTAATTTGACTCTTTAAAGTTAATCAAGTGGGAAGTTGCAGTTTAGGGTCAGCGATATCTTTATCTTATCTTATTTACAAAGATTTGAAATAATTTTGGTTTAATTTATTTATTTGTCGGTTTTTTATTTGTTTTTATAGCAATATCTGGCAACACATCATCGGCCGGCACTTAAACTGACAGTAATCAAAAAAGCCCTTGGACAGGTTGTTATTGCTGACAGGATAGCACTTTCGGTAAGGCAAATGCAAAAAATATCATGATATTATCTGTCAGAAACATTATCATCACTGTCAAAAACCTTTTTAACACTAATACACAGATATGTAGAACAAGCAGGTTACAGAATGAAATGCTAAAAACATTCATAAAAGCACTAGACAAAGTTATCATCTTTATAGCAATGATTATTAATGAAAACTATAACAGTAATATGTATTGTTGCATGATTAATGAACAACTGATCAAATTATCCACCCCGAACCTATAGTAAAATATTAACTATTTTTGATGCAATAAATATGGTATAATATATCAATGTTCATCCCTCCAAAACAGAGAAAACATCTTTAACAAACATCTACATCTCTGTCTCTTTTAAAGTGTTGGTGTATATAATGAGTTGTATTTGTAGGGGTTATTTTAGCACAATTCTTAACCCCACCCCAAACCTCACTAATTTTCAAACCCTGGCTACAGTGGCCATGCGCAGTGTATACGTCTTTCTGCATTGCATACCTACTGCAATAAACAGCCGGTAGAAGCAACATGACTGATAGCGAGAGAACCAGAGTTCAGCCGTACACATGGGAAGCCAAATGCACTGAAAGTGGGACAAAACAGTGCGACGTTACAGAGCTCGCGCCCTGTCATCGGCTTGAACTATATAAAATACACAAACTAATCTCACACTTAAAATACTTTGATAATGTACGCACTAGGGATGGGCATTCCAAGCAAAAATACAATTTGAAAATCGCAGGGTATTATTCGATTATTATTCGAAAATCGCACCCCTCCCCCACAAGCATGCACATACACCCACAAACTGAGAGAGAGGAAGAGAGACGGGATTCACACTTTCAATCTGTATGATAAACTGTTTAATTCAGAAGATAGGCTACCTTAACTCAAGCCATAAAATGATTATAACGTGCTGAAACATATTAATATAATAAACACAACCGAATGACGGCACTTATTAACGTAACAGTCCGTCGATTAGCATAAATCAACTGCTCATAAGGCTAGGACATTTCCATTTAAAAAAATGGAGCACCTAAAGGGAACAGATACGAGATGGGAGGAAAAATATACTTCAATATCTTCTGTCGCAATTATATCGTTGGGTAATTACACTGTATATAAACTGCGGGCATCATGGAGCTGTTATTAATATGCGGGGCATTGAAATCGCTTATGAACGCGCGCTTGTTTTTTACTTTCACTTTCGAGATTCGCGATCACACGTACGGAGCAGCACTCGGCAGTACTTACAACACATTTTACAAGATTAGATGTTTGGCAGTTGTGCTCAGGATTCGCCATCATCCTATCGGTCATCTCTCCTTACTCTGTTTATGTGGTAAGTGAAATGTTATGTACTGTAATGTAACAGGCTACCATTAGCAAGCGGCTAACCATGTCCCTTCAGTGGCTTCGTAGAACGCGTTATTTGTTTTCCGCGCCTTTCTGAATACGGATTCAGCCACACCTCTAACCCAGTCGGGGGTGTTTGTGGTCCACACAGAGCTCTTATTTGACATCGTCCCAAGTTACTGTAAACGTTATATGCTACTCAAGTCTTTTTTTATGCCACGCCAGTCTACAGTGTGCGCGTGAGACAATGTGTTCTTCTGTTGTCTTTGACAGCTTTTAGGTGTGTTATTGGCAGCGCCACCCTCTGCTTACATGAACGCGTCACCACCACATCAGCATGGAAATTTTTTAAGACAATAATCGCACAACCTATTCGATATTCTATAATTAAATCAACTAATGGAATATTCGAAAGTCGTGACCCATCCCTAGTACGCACACAAAAACGGTTAAAACGCTAAGCACTATAATGACATGACATTCACAAAGCAGTCTGGATTTAAATGATTTGTGCAGACATAAACGTATTTAGGTAGATTTTGAGGTACATTACCTTGAAAAATAGAAGTAATCCACTGCGTCTTCAGTGGCTCAGATGTTGGGAGAAAATGCAGACTCTATGTTCAATCTTGTATCCAAACACAGAACACCGGGATTGCTTACGAGACATTGTTGACGTTACAGCTGCTCGAGAGCGGAGAAAATGGAGGACAGTGTACAACTGCTGAGGGTGGAAACTATGACAATGCAGAGCTGTCAATCAGCCGCCGTGGCCCGGCCCTATGCAGTGTGACGTCACACTGCTTAGAAAATCAAAACGGCAGGCCTAGTGAGACTTTGGTTTAATGGAGATTAAAAAATAAGGAGTGTGGGTGGATTTTTATTATTATTAGGTGGTTGTGTTCACACACTGCCAGCACACATTTATGTCTAAACACCATGTAAAAGTGGATTTTGCATAATAGGTGCCCTTTAAAGGCCTTTGTATTTTAAACTGTATTTTAAATATAAAACATATATATATGTGTGTGTGTGTGTGTGTGTGTCTGTATTTATATTTATATTTATTTGTATTTTTTATACCTGTCCTCAGTTATGTTAGTTGGGTTCCAAGGACAAAATGGTGTCAGTGAAGGGGGGCTTGACCAAATAAGTTTGAGAACCACTGGTCTAAAGTTAACAGACAGTGTTTAGTGTAGTTCACATGTTTACATATGTTTATTACATGGACTTTGAATTGCCTAAAGTAGTGTGGTAAAGCAACAGACTTGTTTTTATATTTCTGCAATCTACTTTAGTTTGTGTGATTTGTTACTGACTTTCATATTAATGTTTACACCAGACTTATTTGTCAGTGCTTTATGTTGTCATAATTATTACATGCTTACAAGGTTGGAAGTTCAACAAATCAGTCAATGTACTGTGATTGTAGTTGTTAAATAAAAATGTCATTCATATCAATTCATGCATCACCTAATTTCATCGTAACATATAGGCCTGGCCTACAGAAAAGAACATTTATGTTTAATCTATCTAATAGTGTGTTGGTCATACTATACAATGATTTATAGCTCATAAAGAGCTTTAAAAAATAATTGCATATTAAATCGCAATCGCAATATTGGTAAAAAAAAATCACAATTAGATTATTTTCCAAAATCGTTCAGCCCTAGTGAAAAGCTGAAATATGAGATGAAATATGAAACATTATCTCTGAAGAAAGCAAAAAAATTTCATAAAATATATTATATATATATATATATCAATATATTTATGATAGATAAAATGCTAACTTTGAAATTATCCTTAGCAAGATAAAATATTCTTCTATTTAATTTTACATTTTTAACATAGAATTTTCACCACTGTCATTTCAACTACAAGAATTGTATTAAAAACAGTACATATTTAGAGATGTGGTGAAATTGACAGTGTTAAAATCTTAATGTCAAAATGACAGAATTATTCCGCAGTGTGCCCATAGTTGAAGAAACCTATATGTAGTGTGTTTTTGTGTGTGTGTGTTTTAAGCTGTGGTAGCCATATTTAAGCTGTCAAAGTACAGGCCTCAAGGCACAACTGCAAGCCTTGTGCCCTAAAGACACCTCAGACTTGTAGCTGACTCAACATTTTTTTTTCTTCTTCAATTTCTTGTGTGTGTGCAAACTCTTAAATGTGTTTTCCTGATTCTGACACAGAAGGAGAGAGAGAAGAAAAAGGAGGAGAAGAAGAGGGAAAAAGACACGGATAAAGGGAACAAGCCAGCAGTTTTTGAGAAGGTAACTGACCTCATTACTGACCAAATAGATTGGAGACATTACCCTTTTTAATAAGTGCTGTGTTTATGAATCAATTGAAGACATTCTGTTTGGAGAACTTCAGGTGCTTGTTGCTGGACCATAAGGGAAATTCTTTACAAATATTTTTGCTGTATTTTTCTTTCAAGTTCTCGTGTTTTTAACAAATCTGAGATTTCGAGAATCACATAAGCCAGACAGTGTTCAGTGACCATAAGGAAGATCACAGTCCTGTCTCTCCTGTGAAATCAAATACTCTGAGCACTGGAGTTTAATTTGTCTTGCATATTCATACATCTCTTTGCAGAAAATTAGAATCTCTAAGTTCGTTTTAATTAAAACTTCACGGGAGATTATGTATTGATGGTGGACCGAATGTCAGATAGTTGAGAAACTTTATGCAAATAAGGATGATACAGACATGTTTCTGGTGGATTCTGTGCTGAAATCACATTAACACGTTACTATCATTACTATTATATAATTCAGATTTCAAATTCATTTAGCACATTTTCATTGTGGCTAGAATGTGGTCAGTTTGTTACACTGATACTGTAGGGCTGGGATTTTCAGATTATTATAGTGTCATTCTGCTTTCAAAAAAGATGAGATTAATCATGATTTTATTCTGTTGACAGATTTTAACATTTAGAAGTAAACATCTGCATATAGTTTTGAGTTTACTTTTTGAGGTTGGACAGGTTAGTTGCATGTTTTTGAAAGAAGACTCCTATGCTTACTAAACTTACTTTATTTGATCAAAATGCAGTAAAAACGGTAATAATGTGAAAAGTTGTTAAGTTATTTAAAATAACTGTTTTCTCTTTTAATATATTTTCAAATATAAATTATTGCTTTGATGTCAAAGCTGCTCAAGAATCATTATCAATGTTGAAAATGTTAATATTAATATATATTACTTTTTTATTAATATATAACACTTAATACTAATATTTTTGTGAAAACTTTGTTGTAGCATTTTTTTCAGGATTCTTCAAGGAACTTCAAAAGAACTGCATTTATTTGAAATATTTTTTTAAAAGTCTTTACTGTCACATGTAAAAACAAAATCTTTCTTTCTTTTGACAAATCTATGTAGATTTTCTGATTTGAATTTATTTCGTACTGAATACCACAACTATTTTAGAATAACAATCAAAACGTGTATTAGATTAACACCACACAGAAATAAAGTTTGAATTATTTCAATTGTAATCTAGCGCATATACGATGACTTTGAGCATGTATTAAACGCAATCATAGTCCGCACGGAAACAGCCACGCTGCTGTTCATTTTACCGACAAACCCCCAGAGCATCTGATCTCTAGCGCTTTGAGCGGTATCGAGCAGGTTTCTTCCACGCCAGTGGAAACTTGGGGTAACAGATATTACAGGCTTGACTTCATCTCTCTGTACTGCAGAGATGTTGAACAAACACTTAGATGTGCTGAATTAGCCACAGCAGCAATAATTTAAATTTTGCGTCTAGTCGACATTGCACATTCACAACTCTGCAGCACAAGAAAAAAAGCCCTGAACAGGCATCTTACATTTGTACTTGTGTAACGATCCGCTCACTTCAGGCACCTTGCTTTCCTTCAGGCTACACTTCATAACCACACACAGTCACACACACCTTCCCCTCCCCTGAAGCACAGTTTAGGGTCATCTGGGATCGTAACGCAGAAAACAAATGCCAAAAAAAGGCATTCAAAATTGCTGTGTGTCGTGTGTGAGAGAAAAGAGAGTGTGCTGCATGTGGGAATGTGTATTATTGTAATCTAGCTGTCAGAGAGCACAATGGAGGTATTTGATTGACAGGCGAGAGGATGAGGATGGGTGGCCCTGAGTGAGAGTGGAGAAGGAGTCACAGAGAGGGTACAGTGCTGCATTTTTTTCTTCAGTGGTGTCTCACATTTTCTGTTATTCTTTTACTCTCTGCATAGCTTCTTATTCTTCATGCTCTGTTGTCCTGCACAAGTGGTTTTCCACTAGCTTTGCTTCAGGATTTTACATTGGGCATACACTGGCAACCCACTAGCATATAAAATAGGAAAATGCAAAACTAGTTGATAGGTTGCCTGAATGATTAGTTAACTGGTTGTCTTAAATATGCTGGTTTGCAGCATAGTATGGTGTGCAGCAAGGTTCCGTATGTGTCCCTTTCATTTTCTCCATGAAGGAATTGAATTAATGGTAACTTATAAACATTTAAAGTCAAACCTATTGTGAGCTTACAAGGTTGTTAATTGATGCTTTTTTTTAAGCCATCAGCATGCATTATTTCTAGGGCTGCACGATAAATCGCATGCAATTGTCATGCGCATCTTGTCAGTAAAGCCGGTTTTAGTAGTAAATCTCTATCACATGAGTTCAGATGGAGCGGCATTTACTACACAGAGCCGTAGTTCACTGACAAGCTACGCAATATCGCATTCATAATCGCAGATGAATTGCCTGCGATAATGAACGCGATATCGCGTAGCTTGTCCGT